CAAAAGCATACAATGGAGTAAAGACCCCCTTTTTAATAAGTGATGTTGAGAAAATTGGACAGCCACATGCAAAAAAAAAAAAAGAAAAAAAAGTGAAACTAGACCATCAACTTACACCATACGCAAGATTAGACTCAAAATGAATAAAAGACTTAAATGTTAGTCATGAATCCATAAAAATCCTAGAAGAAAATGTAGACAACAAAACTTCAGACATCATATGCAGCAGAATTTTCACTGATGTATCACCCAAGACAACAGAAACAAAGGAAAAAATGAACACATGGACTACTTTAAACTAAAAACTGTGCACAGCAAAAAAAAAACGAAACAACCCTCAAAATGAAAAGGGAACCCACTATATGAGAGACCAAAATTGCCAATGATACATCAGATAAGGGGTTAATTTTTAAAATATATAGAGTATTCATACAATTCAACAAAAGAAAGACAAAGAACCCAATTAAAAAATGGGCAGAGGAACTAAATAGACACCTCTCCAAAAAGAACATACAGATGACCAAGAGACACATGAAAAAATGCTCAACATCACTAATCATCAGAGAAATGCAAATTAAAACAAAAATGAGGTATCACCTCACACCTGTCAGAATGGCTGCCATCAACAAATCATCAAACAACAAGTGCTGGTTAGGGTGTGGAGAAAAGGGGACGCTAGTACATTGCTGGTGGGAATGCAGATTGGTGCAGCCCCTATGGAAAACAATATGGTGTTTCCTCAAAAAAATTAAAAATTGAACTGCCATTTGACCCAGTGATACCATTTCTAGGAATATACCCTAAGACGCCTAAAACACCAATCAGAAAGAATGTATGTACTCCTATGTTCATAGCAGCACTATTTACAATCGTTAAGATCTGGAAATGTCCCAAGTGTCCATCAATAGATGAGTGGATGAAAAAAAAGAAAACCCCTGTCCTGGTCGGTTTGGCTCAGCGGTTAGAGCATTGGCCTGTGGTCCAGAGAGACCCTGGTTTGGTTTCCACTAAGGGCACGTACCTCAGTTGCAGTTTGTCCCCGGCCCCGGTTGGATCGTGCAGGTGGCAACCACTCGATGTGTCCCTTTCACATTGATGTTTCTCTCTCTTTCTCTCCCTCCCACTCTATCTGAACAAAATATGGAAAAATGTCCTCGGGTGAGGATAAAAAACAAAACAAAAAAAATAAAACTGTGGCACATATACACAATGGAGTACTATGCAGCTGTAAAAGACAAAGATCTCTTATCCTTTGAGACAACTTGGAGGGACCTCGAGAGTATTATGCTGAGGGAAATAAGCCAATCAGAAAGACAAATACCACATGATCTCACTTATTTTTGGAATATAATGAACAAGGTGGGCTGAAGAACAAATTAGACCCAGAGACATAGAAAGGAGTATGGTTCAGACTGACAATCTTCAGAGGACAGGGGTGGGGGTTATGGATGAGATGAACCAAAGAACTTATATGCATATATGCATAACCAATGGACATAGACAACAATGCTGGGGGGCTTGGGGGCGGGATGGGGAAAAGGGTTTCTAAGTGGGTAAATGGAGAAACATCTGTAACAAAAATTTTTAAAAATTAAGTAAAAAAATTTTTTTAAATAAATAAATAACAGAACCTACCAGGGACCTCTTTTTCCTGAAGAAGCCCTCTTTCCAAGTCCTCTAGAGTACAGAGAACCTGTACAAGTTGTTATTAAACACTCCTCTAAAAGGACACCGTGCTGAACAAAAATAATATGACCAGGAGCAAAGGAAGTGCATCTCTCAGGTTTATGAATTCTCTGTCTGCATTTGGTCTTACTCTGAAGTTGCTAATTCATGTATCCAGATGCCTTCAGTGACCTTGTGCAGTAGATTCAGACATGTGTCTGTAAATAAGAAACTCACCTCTTCTGTGAGTGTGTGTGTGAAGCAGACATGACTGATGAGGCCTGAAATAGTGAAATGCTGGTCCCCAAACCAGGGACCTAATGGCAGAAGGATGGGGTGGGAGAAGCCGGGCCGCCTTAGAGGAGGGACAGCTGGGGGCAGTCAAAGCACCACTCACCAGCTGGTGTTGCAGAGCTCTTGGCAGAGAGAAGGCCCAGTTAGATCTGAAGAAGGGACTAGTTGGCTGGACTGTGCCCAGGAGGATGTTTCTCCCTGCTCGCTGACCCACTGGAGAATATACCCATCCTGGCAACAGCGCTCTGCAAGGGCTGGCCAGTGGGAGGCGCAGCTGAGTACACTGAAACATCTGTCAGCCCCAATCAACAAGCATTTGTGCTGGGCGTTCGGCTCCCACAGCGCATGTCTCTGCTCACTGGCTGGAGTACAAGCTAGGGCGATAGACGATGTGACATGCCCTCAGTTCCCAAGGTAACTGGTAAAAACTGTTCAGCCACAGTGGGAAGTGAGTGGAGAGCAGACACTGGTGGGCTCCCTGTGCTGGGCATTTAAATACATCATTTCAGGAACCCAACAAGATGGTGTTACCATGGCTCCCATTGCACAGATAGCACACCCGAAGCTCCTGGGTGTTGAGTGACGTTCCCACGCTCACCTCGATAATAATGGGTGGAGCACGAACTCGAACCTCTATAAATCTCCTTCTGAGATTCTCCTTTACTTGCACCTTCTCTCTCCCAAAGTGCACTATCATGCGTTTTAATTCCAAAATCAGTGAGTTGGGAGTAAATAAAAAATGTATTCCAGTCTGATGATTTGGGGAAATAAGTGGGCAGTTCTGGTACATAACTTCCAGTGTTTAAACTCCACATACTCAGCTGAGAACCTCTGGAAAGTTGCTTCTCTATCTGGTCCTCAGTCTCCTTATCTACAAAACAGTAATATCTAATTCCATAGGGCCATTATGTGGTTTAAATAAGTTAATCATTATCCTTAGAACATTACATTCGTAGAGCATAGTAAGTATTCATAACCACTAGTCATTGTTATGATTTCTCCAATGAAGCCTCCTAATCAGAACACCTTTCCATAATACTCTCTACCCAATTCCCTAGCAATTCCTCAGTCTGTTGTAATGGGGTTTGACCTACAGTCATGTGCCACAGAATGACATTCTGGTTAACGATGGACCCCATATATAATGGTGGTTCCATGAGGTTATAACAGAGCAGAAAAGTTACCACCACCTAGTAACATCAGGACTGTGTGGTGATGCCCGCCAGCGATATAAAAGCATAGCACATACATTATGTACAGTACATAATATTTGATGATGATAATAAATGCTTATAACTGGTTTATGTTATCATACTATATATATATATCTTTATCATTATTTTAAAGCGTACTCTTTCTACTTATAAACACGTCTACTGTAAAATGGCACGCATGTCACACAGGTTGCAGCCCCTCTCGATGGCATTGTTTTCTCTTGTACGTGACTGAATCCCGTGTTGCTTTGTACAGTGACCTGCTGTCAGCCTGTAGCCCAGGAGCCACATGCTGTCCCACACAACCCTGTTGTGTAGCAGAATGTACCATGTCGGTTTGTGTACGTGCACTTTATGAGGTTCACATAATGACAAAATTGCCTAAAGACAAATTTCTCACAATGTATCCCCATAGTTAAGAGTTGCATAACTGTATATTTAATTGCTGGAAACAATAGAGAAGATATTAAATACTTAATTGAATGGCACAATCAAGCATTACAAGCATGACTGTTCAGATAATCCAAGGTAATATGCATTAAAGATTAATTAAACCTGCTTCTGTTGGTGAATGCCTGCTGAATTAGCAATAACGACTTAATCTAATGCCAAAAAGTTATGCTCATTTAATTTTCATTGCATTCATTATTCAGCATTGCACTCATCATCAACAAAAAAGCACACCCCCTGCGCCCCATCTGCACTCATCTGCCCAAGTTAGCGCCTCCTCCAGCTGCACATCTGTGTCAGCCTCACTTTGAACAATTAGCGCTGCCCTGCACCTGTGGTAAGGACCCCCGTCAGCATTCCAATTGCCATAGCCATCTGCCACTCCCCATATTCCAAGGTGCTTTAAGAACAAAGTAACATTTTACGCTGCCATTAAGTAAAGAATATTCTACACACTTCTTACTTTAGGCCACGTAACTCAAGAATTAAAGCAAAAGTACTTTTTTTTTTAAATAGTGACTTTTCAGCTATAGGATGAAGGTGAAGACAATTTTTTTTTAGAAAAGAAAACCATCTTTGCATTGGGTGATCATGATTATTATCAAATTTATAGAGAAAGGGTGAGAAATATACTTTCACAAACCTTGCACTCGAGGTTATTTTGTGCACATTTTTGCCAAAATATTTTAGGTGGTTGGGGGCTTATTGATGCGATCAGACCAAGAAAATACATCTTTGTTGTCTTTTTACAGCAATCATGTGCAAGGATTTGCCAGTCTTCCCGCGGAGCTAGGGAAAGACAGCACATTATCCTGTTCCTCTCACAGGAAGACTGGCTCGGGCAAGTCCAAAGGCTTATCTGGGACCTGGCTCCTTCATTCATATCAGAATCTGTGAACCTCTCGAATCTATTACCACACAGTTGATGTCAATTTAATCAATGATTGTTTTCACAGATCTGTCCCTCCTTATCTACCGGATGGTGGGGGGAGGGTCTGTGTAAGAAGTTGACCTAATTATATCAGCCCAGAACTGAGGAGAACGCAGGATTGGTATCTACCTGGAGGGCAGCCAAAGTGACTGCACCACAGCCACACCAAAGCCCACGGATGTTTCACAGGCTCCCCCTTGATTTTCACAACCGAGCGGCGCTCCCCACATCTTTACTGGGAGAGTGTGTTTCACAAACAATGCAGGTGGGGCACCATTTCTTTCCCAAAGAGTCACTGCTCCCACTCCCCAGATGTCCTCACCAGACTCAGCGTTCCCCCGAGAAATTAGAATCTCCTGTAGTAGAAGTAAATCCATAAGCTTCCCAAGGCAGGGGCAAGGGTGTGGCGGAAGAATTCAAATGGTGGGTCTGGCAGCAGGAAGTAGTGTAACTTATTCTTTTTATCTTTGCTTTTAAACATTCCCCTCTCCCAGCTCGTTCAGGTATAGTGGGAAGATAAGGCCATGAAAAGCACCTTCAAACTCAGCCTCCCTGTGGGACAAGAGGCTCTGATCACCCTGAAAGATGGTCAAAAGTTTGTGACTCACATATCAGATGTACACCAAAGCTCTGAAAATATTAATTTCAGGAAAAGCAGTGCTAATAATTAAGATTATTTATTTAAATAGGACATGAGAAAACAGATTTTTATTCTTAAAAATATATTAAAAGCTAAAACTTTTGTTTTAATAAGAAAAAATATTTTATGTACATAACAAATGTAGCATTGTCTTTTATGTCTATGTGTATTTCAAGGAGTTTGGGTGTTTTTGCAATTTTTATTAATTTATTTTTGTCACAGATGTTTCTTCTTTTTCGCCTCTAGACAATCTCCTCCCAATCCTACCCCCACCTCCCAGTATTGTTGTCTGTGTCCATTGGTTACACATACATGCATATAAGTTCTTTGGTTTATGTCATCCCTCCCCTCTGCACTCCTCCTCTGAGGTTTGTCAGTCTGAATCATACTCCTTTCTTTGACTCCAGTTCTATTTTGTCCATAAGCTTATTTTGTTCATTATATTGCACAAATAAGTGAGATTATATGGTATTTGTCTTTCTCTGATTGGCTTATTTCACTTAGGATAATACTCTCCAGGTCCCTCCAGGTTGTCTCAAAGGACAAGAGATCTCTCTTTCTTATAGCTGCATAGTACTCCATTGTCTATATGTACCACAGCTTTTTGATCCACTCATCTACTGATGAACACTTGGGCCATTTCCAGATCTTAGCGATTGTAAATAGTGCTGCTATGAACATAGGAGTCCATATATTCTTTCTGATTGGTGTTTCAGGCTTCTTGGGGTATATTCCTAGAATTGTGAACACTGGATCAAATGGCAGTTCAATTTTTAACTTTTGAGGTAACACCATATTGTTTTCCATAGTGGCTGCACCAGTCTGCATTCCCACCGGCAGTGTACTAGAGTCCCCTTTTCTCCACACCATTACCAGCACTTGTTTGATGATTTGTTGATGGCAGCCATTCTGGCAGTTGTGAGGTGATACCTCATTATTGTTTTAATTTGCTTCTCTCTGATAATTAGTGACCTTGAGCATTTTTTCATATGTTTCTTGGCCATTTGTATGTCCATTTGGAGAGGTGTCTCTTAGGGTCTTCTGCCCATTTTTTAATTGGGTTGTTTGTCTTTCTTTTGTTGAGTTGTATGAGTACTCTATATATTTTGGAAATTAACCCCTTATCTAATATATTGTTAGCAATTATGACCTCCCATATAGTGGGTTCCCTTTCCATTTTGATGATTGTTTCTTTTGCTGTGCAGAAGCTTTTTTGTTTGATGTAGTCCAATGTATTATTTTTTTCCTTTGTTTCTGTTGCCTTAGGTGAGGTATCAGTGAAAATTTTGCTACATGTGATTAAGTTGGTGGTCTAGTTTCTTTCTTTCTTTCTTTCTTTCTTTCTTTCTTTCTTTCTTTCTTTCTTTCTTTCTTTCTTTCTTTCTTTCTTTCTTTTTTGCATGTAGCTGTCCAATGTTCCTAACACCATTTATTAAATAGGCTGTCTTTACTCCACTGTATGCTCTTGCCACCTTGATCAAATATTAGTTGAGCATAATGTCTTGGGTCAATTTCTGGGTTCTTTGTTCTGTTCCATTGATCTATATGCCTGTTCTTGTGCCAGTACCAAGCTGTTTTGATTACTATGGCTTTGTGGTATAACTGATACCCACTATTGTGGTCCCTCCTACTTTGTTCTTCTTTTTCAAGATTGCTATGGCTATTTGGAATCTTTTTTGGTTCTATATAAACTTTTGGAGTATTTGTTCTAGTTCTGTGAAATATGTTGTTGGTATTTTGATGGGGATTGCATTGAATCTGTAGATTGTATTGGGTAGTAAGGACATTTTAATAATGTTAATTCTTCTAATCCATGAACAAGGTATATGCTTCTACTTTTTTATATCTTCCTCTATTTCTTTTTTCAATGTCCTGTAGTTTTCTGTGGAGAGGTCCTTTACATCTTTGGTTAAATTTATTTCTAGGTATCTTAATTTATTTTGCTGCAACAGTAAATGGAATTCTTTTTTAGTTTCTCTTTCTATGAGTTCATTATTGGTGTATAAGAATGCCATCAATTTCTTGATGTTTAATTTTGTATCCTGCTATCTTGCCAAATTCCTTTATTAAATCTAGCGGATTTTTTATGGAGTCTTTAGGGTTTTCTATGTACAATATCATGTCATCTGCAAATAATAACAGTTTTACTTCTTCCTTTCCCATTTAAATTGCTTCTTTTTTTAAAAAAATTATCTTTATTGTTGAATATATTACAAATGTTTCTCAATTTTTTCTCTATTGACTCCATCCTCCTCACTCGCGCCCTGCTCCTGCCTTTCCCCACACTGTTGTCTGTGTCCATTGGTTATGCATATATACATATAAGTTCTTTGGTTTATCTCTTCCCACCTCTCCCCCCCCTTCCCTTTGAGGTTTGTCAGTTTAACACCCTATTTGTACTCTTAATCTCTTCACCTTTTCACTCATTCCCCCAACCACCCTCCCATCTGGCAACCAACAAAATGTTCTCTGTATTTATGAGAATGCTTCTGTTTTGCCTATTCATTTTGTTTGTAGATTCAATTGTCGATAGATATGTATTTATTGCCATTTTTTTTGTTCATATTTTTTATCTTTTCTTCAAGAAGACCCTTCAACATTTCATATAATAATGGTTTGATGGTGATGAACTCCTTTAGTTTTTTTCTTGTCTGGGAAACTCTTTATATGGCCATAGATTCTAAATGACAGGAGAGAGTAATCTTGGTTGTAGGTTTTTGCTTTTCATTACTCTGAATATTTCTTGCCACTCCCTTTTGGCCTGCAAAGATTCTTTTGAGAAATAAGTTGACAGTCTGATGGGAACTCCCTTGTAGGTAACTAACTGCTTTTCTCTTGCTGCTTTTAAGATTCTCTCTTTGTCTTGAACCTTTTGCATTTTGATTACGATGTGTCTTGGGGTTCATCTTGTTTGGGACTCTCTGTGCTTCCTGGACTTGTATATCTGTTTCCTTCACCAAGTTAGGGAAGATTTTTGTCATTATTGTTTCAAATAGGTTTTTAATTTCTTATTCTCTCTCTTCTCCTTCTGGCACTCCCAAGTTGCAAATGTTGATATGCTTGAAGTTGTCCCAGAGACTCCTTACACTATCCTCATTTTCTTGGATTCTTTTTTCTTTTTGCTGTTCTGATTGGGTGTTTTTTTGCTTCTTTATATTCCAAATTGATGATTTGCTTCTTGGCTTTACCTACTATTGAATCTGTGTAAATTATTTTTTATTTCAGTTAGTACCTCCTTCATTTCTGACTGTGCATCCTTCATTTCTGACTGGTCCTTTTTTATGCTCTTGAGGCCCTCACTAAGTTCACTGAGGTTCTCACTAAGTTCACTGAGCATCCTTATAAGCAGTGTTTTGAACTCTGCATCTGTTAGGTTGCTTATCTCCATTTCACTTAGTTCTTTTTCTGCAGTTTTGTTCTGGTCTTTCATTTGGAACCTGTTTCTTTTTCTCCTCATTTTGGCTGCCTCCCTGTTTTTGTTTCTATGTATTACTTAACAAGAGGTATGGGGCTAGCTGAGACCAGATGCTGCTTGTTTGAAAGAATTTTGAAAAACCTGAAAGAGGATTTAAGACAGGCCAATTCCATGGTAAAGCAACTGGCAATGGCTTGAGTGGGCCTGAAAGTTGGGTGGGGCAGGGCCTCAGGGAATCACCAGGGCAGGGCTACCAGTGTGAGCCAGCTTGCTGGAGACCCAGATATGGTGCCTGTCTGCCGCCCCAGGGAAGGGCTCACCAAAGGAACAAAGGCCTCTGATAGCATGTCTGTCCTGGAGAAAGGCCCCTCTCCAGCCCTCGCTCCAATGCCAAACAACTCAGTTCCTCCCCGTATGTCTCTGGTGCCTTTCAAGCTGCCTCCCCCATGCTGGAGCCTGGAGGATGCGAGTCTGAGTAAGTGCGTGCACAGGCCCTTTAAAAGGAACTGCCTGTGACTCCAGCCACCTCAGCCTCCCTCAGCCTCAGTTCCCACTGTTTTTTCCAGCTAGAAGAACGGGGACTTCTCTTCCTAGCACTGGAACCCTGAGCTGGGCACCTAATGTGGGACAGGGACCCCTCAGTCCTCAGGGAGGACCTTCCCAGTCGAGGTATTCTTCTAAATTTTTTCGCCACATGTGGGTGTGGGACCAGCCCATCGCACCTCTGCCCCTCCTACCAGTCTTGATGTGGCTACTTCTTTAATTGCATAGTTGTAGGACTCCCATTCAGCTTGATTTCAGGTGGTTTTGAATGATGGTTGTTCTTTAGTTTAGTTGTAACTTTGATGTGGTTGTGGGAGGACACAATATCACATTGACCTACACCACCATCTTGACCTGAAGTTCCTTTTTTTTCTTCATGTCTGATTGCTGTGGCTAAGACTTCCAGTACTATGTTAAATAAGAGTGGAAGAAGTGGGCATCCTGTCTTCTCCCTGTTCTTAAGAGAAATGCTTGTAGTTTTTACCCATTGAGTATGATGTTGGCTGTAGGTTTTTCATATATGGCCTTTATTATGTAGTAATATGATCCCTCTATTCTCACATTGCTGAACATTTGGTGCTAGATTTGGTCAAATGCTTTTTCAGCATCTATTGATATGATCATAAGGTTTTTGTCTTTCATTTAGTTTTGTGGTGAATTGCATTTATTGATTGGCAAACATTGTACCAGCCTTGAAAACCTAGGATAAATCCCACATAGTTATGGTAAATTACTTTTTAAGGTTTTTCTGGATCCCATTTGCTACTATTTTGTTACGGATTTTGACATCTGTGTTCTTAAGAAATATTGGACTGTAGTTTTCTTTCTTTGTAGTGTCTTTATCTGGTTTTGGAATTAGAATTATACCGGCCTCATAAAATGAGTTTGGAAGTCTTCCTTCTTTTTGGTTTTTTTGGAATAGTTTGAGGACAATGACTGTTAATTCTTCCTTCAATGTTCGGGAAAACTCCCCCATGAAGCCTTCCAAGCCAGGGCTTTTGTTTACTGGGAGAGTCTTGATTATATCTTCAATTTCCTTTGTTGCTTTTGGTCTGTTCAAGTTTTCTATCTCT